ATTTTCATTTTTTAAAGGCTCTATGCCTTCATAAAGTACGTACTTTTCTTTTGTTTAAGGGTATTCGGGCATTGGTGTATTCTCAAACAAAAAATACATACAAGTACAGTACAGTATTTTCTGAGGAAACACTCGTACTTATTTTTTTAACTCAATTCCCGATAACCCATTCATCTACTAAGACTCTAAACCCAACTAAGATCAAACTCTAAAGACATAATATTTTCGAATCGTAAGCTATGACTGAGAGATTGACAGGAAACGAAACAGAAAAAATATTAAAATGTGGATAGTTGGTTAACTCACGAATTTCCAATCTCGTCGTATAGTACGTTAGTAAAACGCTCTTGGATCGGCGGTTCCTAATCGTAGTCTCCCTTCTCTTCGGGTCAGGATAGTAGTGGGAAGACGGGTTGCGGTGAACAGAATGGCGGTATGGGTCTGGTGTTCCCTGATGTTGTCTGGACTATGTCCACTGTGGATGTCTGCCGGCTATCTGCTTGGCTGTGTCCACTTTGGCTGTCTGCCCTGAAACGCAAGTGCGACCTTTTTTTATACATGTCCCAGAGGGAAAATCATTGCGAAAAAATCTGATACAATAACATCTGCGGTTAGCGTTGTTTACATTAACCAAACGGTTTTCCTGATTTATTATTTTTTTCTACTCGTTATTGTGGTGCTTTTTCATCATAAATTTGACAATAGCTGTCAACTTAAATTAATTGTCGACGATGGCTAAGATCAGAACATTCACGTGCCATTTTTTTGTTACTCTCTATCATGTCACAGGTGAAAATTCTTGGTAATTGGTTACTTATTTCTACGTTGTAACGAAAGTTAAACTAAATGATCCCCTGTTGTTAGGGAAAAACTTTCAAAAGCGTTTAGTAAGTCACCATTCAAAGTGATACAGTACACTTATAGGTCATGATGTCTAGTTTTAACTTTCATTAAAAGAGGGAAAAATAAAATAATGATAAAAATAAAAATAACCGAAGCTCGAACATTTACACAAAAGCTCGAATTCTCACAATTAAAAATAATTGGTGAGCATCACCATCGTTATGGTAAACAAAAGTTTATGAAACAGTTTTTCCCTTTATATAACTTTATTGAAATTGCATTTATTTATATAATGTTGATCCTCAACATTTGAAAAATAATTTGAAAACGTCACGCAACGACGAGCGAACTTTGTTTTTATTTCAATTGCAAATGATATTAAACAGATATTCAGTTAAAATTTTAATTAAAAGCATTCAATAATTTTAACTTATTACCTTCTGTACACAAATGAAACTATACTATTGAATATAATGCTTATTTACATGTTTATACCTGATGAAAAATATATCCTGATGTAAGGAATTCTCAACGTGACAAATTGTATGCTAAAACATGTAAATTGCTATCAGGGAATGTATTTATTAACTGTAATTGTCTGAATATTATCTACTATTCAGACTGTCTGAATATTATCTACTATTCAGACAGTTGTTCATAGCTTTTGACTCGATATTTTGAGCACTTGATATTTGATGATTTTCGTACAAATCGCAACGAAAGTAAATATTTTCTTTATAATCTTGTTGCGAATTGGAATTTGTATATCCGAAATATTCCTCAGAAAGACCGNCAACAATAAATATAAAAATAAATTCTTTTTGAATATAATAATACAATAAATAAACAAAACAAATAAATAATAAAATAAACATTTTTTGAATGTAAGTAAATGACAAATATATACAAAAAATTTTTTCCAAAAACTTACAAACAACAAATAAAATATTAAAATAACTTTTTAAAAATATAAATAAATAACGACTATACAAAAAAACACATTTTTATGAATTTAAATAAAGGACATATATATACAAAAAACTTTTTTGAAGACAGACAAACAACGAATGAATACTAACTTAACTTGACAAATCGGTTTAAATCGGCAAACAACAAATATATACATAAAGACATTTTTTTAAAAATAAATAAACGACAAATATATAAAAAAAACATTTTTTAAACATTAACAACAATTTAATACAAAAATAACTTCGTTTTAAATATTGAAAAAAAAATAAATAAATTGCAAATAAACCATTTTATAATATAAATCTAAATTAAAAACTATATTTTACATTTGAATTTTAAACTTTTTTTAAATTTAAATTTTAAATATTTTTTTAATTTAAATTTTAAGTGTTTTTTCAAATTTAACTTTTTCAAAATTCAATTTCAAACTTTCTATTAAAGTTTATATTTTAATATATTTTATTTTGTGTTTGAAAACTCAAATGATTTTCAATTTATCTTTTTTAAATATTTATAGACAAAGATAAAAATAAATTTGTACATGGTCAAGAAAAATGTAATTGCCCATAAATTTATAAGAATTAATTATGAAGTAACAGAAAATATATTATTACAAAGTAACTTTGTACAAGATATTAAAGTCTTCTGATATTCATTTGTTTTCTGTAAAAATAAAATTAAAATAATAAAGATATTTTTTTAAAATGTTAATTATTTTAATAATTTTGAAATCAATATGTTTATATTTTTAGAAGGTAAAAATGTGTGTGATTGAAATCGAATTGTATTATGTTAGAACACTGGCATATCTACTATGAAATAATAAAGCTTATGTTTTAAGGTTTTCTAATTCCAGATTTCCTCGAAGCATGCATTTTTTGCTATTTTTCAGCTTGATTTGTTATGGAGTCTTTTTGTTTGCACGTTTTAAAAAAGCTTCATTACAGTTAATTTTCCAAGATATCAAAAGTGTAGGAAGGGATTCGCATTGAGCAATTTATTGATACTGCTACATGTGATTTATACTGCATCCCATTATAGTACTGTCAATTCATATCGATATTACATAAAGTTACTAAATAATTTTTTTTACATCTATTTATGCTATTTCTTCTACAGTGTCGTGAGACTACAATTTTACAGGATTCTGTGTTAAATAGCAACATTCAAACACTCATAATTTAGATCAGATAATCAACTAATTAACTGAGATTGTATAGTCTAAACACTGGTTTAGATTTACACTATTTACATTTGTATATATCTACAAAACACTAGTAGTTGGTCATAGATTCGAATCGAATGTATACACAAATTAATTGATATATATATATTTAATCAATAGTTTGGAATAATATGTATGGCATTATCTAAGTTACAATTATTTTAACATAACTGCCGAATTTCATAACGATTTGTATAATGGCCTATGTGTGCGTAGCAAATAAACATATTGATTTCTTTATACATATAAGTTGAAGATACATACTAAAAAAATCGAGAAAAATTTCTTTAATTTAGAGAATTTTCCTGTTTTCGGTTTTGTATTATTAATTATTCTATTTTATTAAAATGAGAAATAAATAAATAAGAAACTTTTGATGACATAAATTTATTATTTTTAATTAAAGATTACAGTAAAATAGTAAAATAGAATTGAACGTTTGAATGCAGGAAGAAATCGACTTCTCTGCACTAGTGAAAATGTTATGTATCAAAAGTATTACGCAATGAATGTTATCGATATATAGCTTTTCAGAAAAAGATATTCAGTAGATGACAGAGTTATGTTACATTGACCTGATGTTTTTTTTAATGAAACAACGTCTCATAAGCTGATACTATTTTTTCTATCAAAGCCTCTGTCGAATATATTAAAGTAACACTTTCATATATGGTAACAATGTTGAAAGTATTGTTAAACATTCTTATCATACAATGCCATTTAAGACATTCTAAAAGTTGAACATTAAATAATATAACCTGCTGTCTACTGTAGTAAAAAAGCTTGTACAGCTTGCCTTGGATATCTTGGAACAGTATGGATGTAATTCAAATACATAATTTATTAATTTACTTAACTTGCAAGAATCAAATGAAAATGCTTATCTTACATCTTAGCAGTTTTGAAGGATTCAGTCTGAGACATATCTAGTCACACAATTTAAGAATATATGTAATTGCCTGTAATAACGACAATGCTATTTTTTTTTCTCATAGGGCGAGAATAGTAGAAGTAAAACAATAGAAATTCAATGCTAACTGCTAAAGATCCTATAATCAGAGATATAGATAATTTAATAATACAGATTCGTGCATCACACATAACAAAAATTTTCAAGTTATTTGATTTCTTCAGTATCTGTTAGAAAAAGGTTATGTTAAAACTACAAATCATTAATTACTGAAGATAGGTCATAACTATCTACATTCAGACAAACTTCCAATAAATAGAAAAACTTCTATAAAAATATGAAAATCCTTCAACTCTAATGGATATTAAATACTTAAATTTACCAAACGTAATATTGTATTAACTAAATCTTTAGGCCTTTCTCTTCAGTTTTAACATTAATAAATTCTAAATTCAAAAATAATGATCATTGTCAAAATCGAATTTATCACCAATAAAGAACTCGCACATTATCATTAAACTATAAAGATAATACTAAATTTTATTATAATTAGATCTATCATTTTATTAATTTTTTTAACTACATAAAGTATTCACAATGAAATGTGAATTTCAATGTGAAAAAATAAATAACATCCTTTATTTAATGTTAGTGAATATATAAAGATTTAATATTAATNTATAATGTACAAATATTGAAAATTTTTAGGCCTAAACATATAAGATTATATCTTTAAATGACCTTCGTTTTCCTCTTTACAATAGTGGGCTCTTTCTATAATAAAATGACTTTTGGCCTGCCCAATATTACAAAATAATTCGCTTATATAATGAAATTTACTTCTGTACACAAATGAAACTATACTATTGAATATAATGCTTATTTACATGTTTATACCTGATGAAAAATATATCCTGATGTAAGGAATTCTCAACGTGACAAATTGTATGCTAAAACATGTAAATTGCTATCAGGGAATGTATTTATTAACTGTAATTGTCTGAATATTATCTACTATTCAGACTGTCTGAATATTATCTACTATTCAGACAGTTGTTCATAGCTTTTGACTCGATATTTTGAGCACTTGATATTTGATGATTTTCGTACAAATCGCAACGAAAGTAAATATTTTCTTTATAATCTTGTTGCGAATTGGAATTTGTATATCCGAAATATTCCTCAGAAAGACCGAGAACAATTTCCATGTAACCTGTTTCTCGGTAACTTTCTAAATCCCAACTCAAGAAAGCATTTTCATCGTGATTGTCATATTTAGTTAAGCTGAGATTTGGAGGATCAAGTTTCTCCTCAGACAAGCACTTCGGATTTCTAGAAACGACAATAGAAAACTACGTATTGCATAAGTACATTCGTCAGATTTTTATATTTAATTTTACCTGTTCTGTAAACCGTTGATATCTTGCAGCTCAACTTTTTGAGCACATGAGTGATGATTTTCATATTCATGGCTACGTAAGTAAACATGTTTCTGATCAGCATGTTGTAAATCAGAATCGCTATAAACAAAATAATCCTTAGCCAGATCGATAACAAATTTCGTATACCTTATATCTTGATAACTTTCAAAATCCCAACTCAAGGAATCTTCGATATTATCATTATCTGTTGGGAGTTTTATGCTGAAGTCAGGAGGATCAAATTGCTCCTCAGAAAACTTTAACTTTGTATCTCCATTTATATCTGCATCAACATATACATTTTTTATGCACTCCTTCTCCGTTATGAAAGCTGAGAAAAGACAATTCGTAAATTATTTTGGTCTACGCCTCAGGGAATAATGAAGCGAATATTTTTCACAGATTTATTCTCATTATTATTTATTTGGCTAACGTAATATAATATATTTTATTCCAAATCAGTTTAAAATATGAAAATTAATCTTAAAATTAATTAATTATTTTACTTTTTTGTTGTTAATTAAGTTTAACGACTTTATAATTATTTAACGACAAATTTTTACATTGGTAATTCTATTTTTATAGAAATATTTGTACAGTATATTCTGTAGTCTGTCAAAATATTACTTACATTTGCTTTTAACACAATTTTCTTCGAAAAATTAACGACGAACTTTGGAAAACGTATTTCGCTTTCGGAAGAAACTTCTCGACAAAGAAACTGTAACAATGGAAAACCTATTGTTTCCAAAATTCTTCTGTTTCCGCGTGACGTTTAAGCTGTTGTAGTGAAAATACATAAAGTTTTTAAAATATCCGATGCATATTTATTTATTTATTTTTGTTTCAACCGTCTTTTTGCAAATGAGTTCTGTACATTAATTGCTGGGCATTATAGAAAACTGATATTTATACACTGTGCATAAATATATTATCAATCCATAGGCATACGTTTTATATTCACAAATAAGCTGGTCTTTTTTCTTTTTTATTTTGCATCAGTTTAAAAAATGTTGAGTTTAAAATTCAAGTATAATTTAAAACAAAAATTTTAATTTGTAAACTACTATTATAGCAGCATTTAGTTGTAACTGTAATTACAGTTACTNACCAGAATTCTTGTGACTTTTTGGAATAAAAAGATATATATATATATATGAACGAATAAACAGCTACAATAACAAATATTTATAAAAATTTTTTGTCAAACCAAGAAAATTTTGAGAAAATTCTTACTGAAATGGGAGTGGCAACGGACAGAGGAAACTAAACAATAAAACAAAATTCAATTTATTACGGAAAAAGTCGATGTTATATATTTTATATATGTAAACGTATTTATGTCTGTTTAATGTTCTTCATTATGCTTATTCAAATTTCATTTATCTACTCCATCATTTATTGTAATGCTATCTTAAGTTTACAATAGTCTGCTGTACGAGTATATGAATAATTTATCTTTACGTTTACAGGTATCTTTTTCGTAACAATAAAAATTTGCCTAGCGTGAGTAAGGACTTTACAGGTATCGAAAAGAAAAGTTTTTGTACAGTTTTAATCGTTTGAATTCGTGGGATAAAGCAACAAGCCTTGTGGGCAAGCAAAGTTTCCATATATGATAGCGTTTATTCGATAGAAAAAGTATTTTTAGACAGAAATTTTATAAGAAATTTGTTTATTTATGTGTCAGACATGTCAATATATCCCATAAATCTTCACGAGACAGCCCATTGGTCAAGAACTAACCCAAGATTAACTACGAGTGTTCAGTAGTTCTATCCACTCGGCCGCAGGTAAAACAATTATATTCAATGTAAGGAATATTTCACAGCGAAAAATATATTCAAGTACAATTTAAATTACAAAAATATTTTCCCTTTTACCATAAAAAGAGTCATTTCCTATGTTCATTTGGATTTATCTAGGTCAAAACTAAAAGCGTTTAATATGACAAATGGAACCTAATATATTTTGGATATGAAATAAACTCAAATTTTGTTTTTTCATGGCAACAAGATTTTAAAATGTTAATCAATAATGAACTTGTCAATTCCAGTTTATAATGTATTGTCTTTAGGAATCATTCCGTTTAGATACAGATTTTTATTATAATAAAAGGAAACATCATTTTTAAGGAAACGTCATGATGTTTAATTTTATTCATAAAATTCAAAAGATATGAACAAACTTAAGCTATAGTAAATATTCATATTTACAGTAAATATTATACTTATAAATATATTTATGATAATTATAGTAAATATCCTTTCTCGGTCCGCGAGATTTTCTTACCGCACTTTAATCACGTAGCTTTTCACAGAATTCATTTTTTTTCTCAAAGTAGTAAAATTATTATTTTGCTTCAAAAATTATTATTACATTTTCCCCTTTTATTTTCTCTACTTATAAACAGTGTAAAATATTTTTAGATTGACAAAAAGCTTTATTTGTATCGAATTTAATGTAATTTGATACAAAAAACACAAAAAATAAACATATCAAATTTCAACTCGATGTTATTTATCTCCTGTTTCACCAATTGCCATCTGGTTTGTTTGTAAATGGGAAAGAAATGTGACACTTTCAAGCGAAGTAAGTAGAAATTTCGCACCACTGCGAGAAAATTTGTCAACAGACCACGCGTTACCCCCTACCGCAAAAGTCAATAAACGTTAATTGTTTTATGACTCCACTTCAAACACTTCTTTCTCAATTGTATATCGACTAATTGACAAAGATTTTGCTTCATTTTATTCAAGAATGTATTTTTTTAAGATTTAACAGATAGTTATTTTAGATCTTTACATATTAATTAATTTTATTTTTAATTTTTAATGTGATATAGTCGTGTGTTAAGCTTAAATCGATCACCTAATATAAAAATTGACATCGCTTAAAATATTACAAAAACCATCAAAATTTTTTTCTAGTAGTTTAGATATAAATGTTTTCCGTGCATGACATAAAGCAATAAAAAAAAAAGTGGACCATAAAAAATTCGGCAATTTACAACATGATGTCGAATGCGTATATTCTTTTATTCATAAGTAAAAATATTGTCGAAATTTCTTCAAAAAAATTTATTTGCGACAATACATTAATGAAGTAGTTACGCAAGAAAGAAAAATTGTACAATTAGCTCAATTTATATCAGCATAATTAATTTTGAAAATTCTTGTCACTGTTATTTCTCGCAGAGTATAATGAGACTTCGCTGAGTGTAATAATAAATTGCGATATTTCGCTTTAAAATCGGGCTAAAATCGATCTTTACCTTCAAATAAAATCAAAAATTTTTAGAAGAAAAAAAAATGATAGAGAAAGAGATAATTGCGATAGTAGAGATCGACGATAGCGATTATCGCGAGCGTGCTTTTTATGCCGAATTTTTTCTACCCGAAAGATCGTCCTCGTTGTTTATCTCTTTCACAAGTGATTATATTTTTTTCAAATTACGATGATTATTACGTTTGATAACAGAAGCATAGATATTATGATATTCAGTGCATACATGCTCTAAGTAAAAAGAACAATACTACAAAACAATGCTTCGTTATCGTTTCTGTTACTTTTCTTCAGCTGGAATTATAAAGCTATGCTGAATGTGATTGATAGCATTATAAATTTAATAAATAATAAAGAAAAACATCCCAAATAGTAAATTTTAATTCTTACCAAATAACCTTTTTCTTCATAACAGTAGCTTTCATTATAATAAACAGAGATCTTCCTTCTTTTATAGTACCGAATTTCAGAGCAACGTAGACTGGATATTATGAGTAAGACAGTTATAGGTTGTATATCGTAGCTACTGAACATATATCTGTTGCTTCCACACATGACATTCTCTTTTATCACAATCATTAATAGAAACAATACAGTCTGTAAAGAAATTATAAACTCAAGTGAAATTTCTCTGTGTTTTAATTTCTTTTCATCCACAGTTCGTTGTTGCTATATCTAATGATTTTAATTAGTGTTACGAATTTATAATGAAATAAACAAGTCTTTGTATTGTATCATTTTAATAAACAATCAAAAATTTTAATTGTTACAATTTTTTGTTGTAAACAATTTATAAACTCAAGGGTGAAAACTGATTATTACAGTTGAATGGAACAATCCATTCAACTGTAATAGTAATGTAAATTAGTATGTGTAACATTTTGGGTGAGTCTGAGAATTCAAACTAAAAAAGTGACAAAAATGCCAAGGGGAATAACCCTAACTGAAAGTGAAATATGAAAAATCTATTTCTTTAAGGGAAAAGGATGGCCAACTCGAAAAATTGCTTCAAAACTTGGTAGATCTCAAACTGCAGTACAAAATGTACTAAAAAAGGGTGACAATTATAACAAAATTAAACGTACAGGACGAAAACCAAGTCTGCAGCCTCATGACCATTGCCGCATTGCTAGTCTTGCAACAAATGAATCATTGTCTACTCGTGAGATAGCTGCAGTTTTACCAACTCCAGTGTCCCACAAAACTGTGTAGAAAAGCTTGAGAAAGAATAAAACAATAAACTTTAGGAAATTGAAGTCCAAACCAAAGCTACAGAGTTACATCGGTCAACAAGGCTGCAATGGGCAAAAGATCATGTTAATTGGACAACTGAATGGATAAAAATAGTTTTCTCAGATGAGAAAAAGTTTAACCTGGATGGCCCGGATGGCCAAGCATATTATTGGCATGATACAAGAAAAAATCCCAGGGTCAAATTCAGTAGACAACAAGGTGGAGGTTCAGTAATGATCTGGGCAGCAATCGGATATGAAGGAAAAACAATTTGGCATTTATTAATGGGCGAATGAATTCTGAGATGTACCAAGCTATCTTATATGAACATCTAATCCCATTTGGTCCTCTCATTGGCGGTCAAGACTGGATCTATCAACAGGACAATGCATCTGTTCACAAGTCAGCCAGTACTACAAAGTGGTTTTCACGAAAAAATTGAAGTTATGGTTTGGCCAACACATAGTCCAGACCTTAATCCCATTGAAAACCTTTGGAGTCAACTTGTGGCATTAGTTTATCGCCGTGGAAAACAATACAACACATCCGATGAACTTAAAGTTGCATTGTATAATGCCTGGGACAAAATTAAACAAAGTGACATTCAAAACCTGGTTGATTCAATGCCTAAACGAGTTGTGGAGGTAATTGAAAACAAGGGAGGGTCCACAAAGTATTAAAAACGTACTAAATCACCCTTGAGTTTATAAATTGTTTACAGCAAAAAATTGTAACAATTAAAATTTTTGATTGTTTATTAAAATGATACAATACAAAGACTTGTTTATTTCATTATAAATTCGTAACACTAAATAAAATCATTAGATATAGCAACAATGAACTATGGATGAAAAGAAATTAAAACACAGAGAAATTTCACTTTAGTTTATAATTTCTTTACAGACTGTAGTGAAATGAGCCAGACACAGATTCATATATGTAAATGGAATATTATAGTATTATTGAAGTATTGTTCTTATGCTGCACAGTGGCACAACCTTATCAGATTTAGAGCAAACACATTAATTACAGATTACAGTGGTTTCAAGTTGAAAGACCGACAATGACTGTAACTAATTAGTTCTTCCTGCATTTTTTAGTACTGATTGTAAACAAGGTAATATTTTTCAAACTCAAAATACCATTATATTTAATTAATAAGCCTTTCGCCTAGCAAAAGCTGAAAAATCCCAAATAATATTCGCGTGTTATTACATGCCTAATAGGCT